TTGGTAATGTGTTTACATAATATAAACAAATAAAATGAAAATAAATTTTTATTATTAAGTAATTAATAACTATAATAAACAGCTGCATTTTTAATATTCTGTATGCTCATACGTGTTTAATATTAACTCTTACATTCTCATGTATTACTGGTCTATCAGGGCAGAGAAACTTGATTCAGAAAAATAACCTCATTATTTCTATCAACATACACAGTATAGTTCACTAGATAAGATGTGCTGGCTAATGGCTATATCAAACAACTCAAAATATCAGTGGCAGGAGATACTCAAGAAATACTTCTTGAACTAAATTGAGCTTTGCATTTCTTTTCTTTCTTTCTTTCATTTTTACAAACTTTGTGTACATAGAACCATCAGAAAGCAAAGAAGTCACTATGTCAGCTGCCCAGGTAGACAATCTGTAGTTGGTTGGCATCGCCTTCATTACTGATTCTGAATTTATATGATGGCAATAAGAAATCATTTTCTGGGCCGGCCCAGTGGTGCACTGGATAGTGCGCCGCTTGGGAGCGCAGAGGCGCTCCCGCCGAGGGTTCGGATCCCATGTGGAGACCGGTTCCCGCTCACTGGCTGAGCGCGGTGCAGGCGCGACACCGAGGGTTGCGATCCCGTTGCCGGTCCCCGGTACAGGCGCGACACTGAGGGTTGCGATCCTGTTACCAGTCAGTAAAAAAGACAAAAAAGGGAAAAAAAAAAAAAACTGAAGTCAATTTAGTTCTTGTTCTACTATAGACCTTATTTTATTTCTGATACATTTTTAAAATTTTTCCGTCTGTTGATAAAGTTTAACATTTCATTGAACTAGAAATAAACCAAGATTTAAATGGGTAAGGAATGAATAATTCCTCATAGCCCATTTTATTTTATTTTATTTATCTTCAGGTGGCTGGCCAGTACAGGGATTGAACCCAGGACGTTGGTGTATCAGCACCACACTCTAACCAACCTGAGCTACCTGGCCAGCCTGGGGAAATGCTAATTTTATATATTCTTTTATTTTTTGGCAGCTGGCTAGTACAGGGATCTGAACCTTTGACAATGGTGCTATAACACTGTGCTCTAACCAACTGAGCCAAATGCTCATTTGAAAAGCAAAAGACAATTTTCTACTTTATTCATAAGAACATTGGAAATGATTTGATGAAATGAAGACATTTTTACTGTAGTTCATATAGTTTTGACAGTGATTTCTGGCCACAATTAATGCACAATTAATTTTATTTTTAAACTGGATTTTATTTGATAAAATGGAGAAAGAGAAAAGAATCTTAAGCTTACGGTAGTTTTAGCATCCTTTATCCTTGACCTTCAGTACCTGCATGCTTTGAAAATTTGGAATTTTAAGTGTTTTATTTTCTGGGTAAGCTATTAGAAAATTATTGGTCTATGAGGTGCTAGTCATTTCCCTCTGTCCTGTAATAAAGTCTGTTTCTGTTTTTGTAGTAGCCACCAAATTATGTGTTCCGTTTTATCCAGATCCTAAAGGCAGATATGAACAAGGAATGAATATATTGGGGAAAAAGGCTTTCTTTTAATCCTTATTTATTTTTGGCAGCTGGCTGGTATGGGCATCTGAATCTACGACCTCATGTTACCAGCACCACACTCTAACCAAGTGAGCTAACAAGCCTTTTTAGCCTTTTTTAACCTCAATCATAGCCATGCCTTTTTTCATTTCAAATTAACAATAGTTTTTTGGGGGAGATAGGGTTGTAGAAAAGTAAACATGAATACTGTTACATGTTTTCTGCATAAAACTAGAGCTGGATTTCTGTTGATCTTTGATGAGGGATAGTGGTTTGCAATCTTTTTTTTTTTTTTTTTTTACAGAGAAAAATGGTCAAGAAAAGAGACCACCTCTTTTTAAGAAGTGGGTAGATCAACATAACCACCTAACCACCTGGTATAATTTAAAGACAGAACCCTAGGACGTTCCTCCTAATATGGGTGGTTTATTTTCTGCCTCTTTCTAGATGATGTCTATTAAAACTTGTCCTTATGGGGCTGGTTACTTAGTTCAGTTGGTTAGATCATGATGCTGATAACAGAAGGTCCAGGGTTTAATTCCTGTACCAGCCAGCCTACAAAAAATAAATAAAATTAGCTAGTAAAATAGTACTGAATTTCATCTCAGCTAATTTGCCGGTTTACAGAAAGGAGTACTTGGTCTTTGAGGTATGCAATGCCCATAGATGGGAATCAGCCAAAATTGATGGTTTCCTGTTAGTCACTAAACTATATAATCCCCCTAATGTTATTCTCTTCCCCTTCCTCCACTACTAATTTAATAAATATTTCAAAAGAATAAAAAGCTTTCAAAAAAAGAATATTCCCCATACTGTGGCTCTCCCCTCCCCCTGAAAAAAGTACAATACTTAGCCTGTTCTTTTGAAAAAAAAATTTTTCCCTCTGTTTACTAACCTCGTTTTGAGGGTAAATCTTATTTTCTTTCTCTGTCTTGTAGTTTGCTTTTTACACTGATGGCCTTTTCCAGATGTAGATTTTGTAGTCAGATAAGAAGCCTCTACTTTAAGGACCAATTAAAGCAGGAAAATACGATGGGCCTGTAGTTATTGTCTTCAAGTTCCTGATTTTCAGGAAACACTCTGATTATGTCAGTAGTGCAGTTATCCGATAATAAGGTTACATTGTCAAAGTAAGGTTACTTTGGAAGAAAATGAAGTAAAGCCATCTCTTGATCTGGTAGCCTTTCGCTGATTGGTGTTCTACAGAGTGGCATTTATTCTGCATTCCTTTATCAGTTGGATTTTTCTTTTTTCTTTTTCTTTTTTTAAACAAAGATGACCGGTAAGGGGATCTTAACCCTTGGCTTGGTGTTGTCAGCACCACACTCTCCCGAGTGAGCCACGGGCCGGCCCGAATTTTTCTGTTTTGAGTGGCATTGCAGTGCTGCTTCTGTGTTGGTGAAATCCTCCATTCTCTGCACCTCCATCTTTTGTGCTGTGCACTATGGTGCCTGTTAGTCACATGCGGCTCCTGAGCTCATGAGATGTGGCTAGTCTCAACTGAGAAGTGCTGTGTATATAACACACACCAAATAACAAAGACTTAGTATGAAAAAAATGTAAAACATCTCAATACATTTTTATATCAATTACATGTTGCAGTGGTAATGGTTCAGATATATTGGGTAAAGTAAGATCTATTAATTTATCCTGTTTGTTTTTATTGGGGGGGGGGGGCGATGGTGGCTGCCTGGTATGGAGATCGGAACCATTGACCTTGGCTCTAACCAGCTGAGCTAACTGGCCAGCCCTTTTACTTTTCAGTGTGGCGACTAGAAAATTTAAAAGTACATGTACGACTTGCCTTCTATTTCTGTTGTCCAGCACTGCTCTAGACAACTCTGTTTCTGAGACCCCAGGTTCATTGGTTCATTAAGGAGGAATCAGTGTGTTTTGCTGTGTTTTTATTATTACTATTATTTGTCTGCGCAGTGGTTTTGCTGTCACTTCAGGGAATGAGGTTGTGATTACATTTATCTGTTTTGCTAGTGATGATGGCCAAAGAGAAGCCACCAATAACCGTGGTTGGAGATGTTGGAGGACGCATCGCAATCATAGTGGTATGGTCATGTGTCATCCTTCATGTGCAGAGATGACACTGCTGGCTCTTAGTCAGTAGGTTGTCCACTTGTGGATTGTATTTCCAGTAATGATGATAGATTTAAATGGATCCATCTATTCTTTCTCACCCAAACTCCCATAGGACAGGTAGCAGAAATTTTTATATAGTTGAACAGGGATTAAAGTATAAACTACAGATAAAAAAAAAATAGCATAGTATCTCCCATTAAGGAAATTCAGCATTATAACCTTCCCCTTATGGGTTCTAGGTCTCTCAAGCCGGCTTGCTTAATCATCCTTAATCCTTAGGCCCCAGAGATGAGCTGAAGATGAGCTGTTGTCTTTCACTAATGAGAACAGGTGTCCCAGTGCAGGCTCATTTTTCATTTGACATATATGTGCACCCAGCTCTGAATGTCTTTGCTGGCAAAAGGGTTACTGGTCCTTTACAGAAGCTCACTTTATGTCTGTTTTCCTCTCCTGTAATATTCCCTTGGAAAAAAAATAAATGGGACACTGGCTCTGTGGAATTAATCAGAAATTTAAAGCAGGGAAATAAGTCTTGGCAATCTTAACTCTAGGTATAATGTCACACACGTATGGTTGGTTGTAAGGCTTCACTGCTCTTTGCTCTGACGGACACACCAAGTACAGTCAAGGCACTTCTATTGCCATTTCTGGATATTCGGTCTTTTTTTTTTTTTTTTTTTAAAGATGACTGATAAGGGGATCTTAACCCTTGACTTGGTGGTGTCAGCACCACACTCTCCCAAGTGAGCTAACCGGCCATCCCTATATAGGATCCGAACCCGTGGCCTTGGTGTTATCAGCACCACACTCCCGAGTGAGCCACGGGCCGGCCCTGGATGTTCAGACTTTGACCCAGGCACATAGCTCTGATTTTCCATCAGAAATCCTCTGAAACAAAGTGCAGAACAGAGCAGAGACGTTTGTGTCTTTACAGGCTGGCATAGAGGGTGGTTCCTTAATACCAACTCTGTTCTCCTCTCAGGATGACATTATTGATGATGTGGAGAGTTTTGTTGCTGCTGCGGAGATCCTGAAAGAGAGAGGTGCTTACAAGATCTATGTCATGGCCACTCACGGCATTCTGTCGGCAGAGGCCCCCCGCCTGATTGAGGAGGCTTCCATTGATGAGGTCTGTCTGCTTTTAACAGCTTGGAACATTCAGCTTGAGTCAAGATTTGTGGCTGTATTTTCTGTGAATGATAAAATGACTCAGTCAGTATTAAATTGCTCCCCATACTGGCCAGCTACCCGTCCCCCACCAACAAAATTAAATTGGTTAGTCTCTCTCTAGAGCGCCTATGAAATAGTGCCTCTGCTGGCTAGCAGTTTTGGGGGAAAGGTATATATTTACAAATATATGTCTGTTTGCATAAAGATTTGCTTTGTGCAGTGTTGTAACACCAGGTCGAGGGTCTGGATCACTGTACTGGCCAGCCACCAAAAAAAAAATAGATTTGCTTCTGTACTTTAATATAATTTGACACACTATAGTAGCATTTCTCTTGAGACTTGCTTTCTCTGATAATATGAAAGTTTTACACAGTCACTGTATTTCTGCACGTAGACTAGGATATTCACAGGACTTGAGTCTTCTGTTCTGAGCCATGTAACCTTCCCCTTGTGTAAAGCTGGGTAACTTTAGTTTGTAAAACTGTACTCAGCGGAACAGGGATTCGTAGTTCGGAACTTGGGCTGTGGGTACTATATGTTAGATAAACTTTTCTGAGTATTAGTTTGGGGTACACATCAGTAACTTTTTAAATTTTTTGTTCAATAACTTTATTTTCTATTGCTGCGTGACTTAGGTGGTGGTGACGAATACTGTCCCTCATGAGGTACAGAAGCTGCAGTGTCCCAAGATAAAGACTGTGGATATCAGTTTGATTCTTTCTGAAGCAATTCGGAGAATCCACAATGGAGAGTCCATGGCTTACCTTTTCCGAAACATCACTGTGGATGACTAGCTTTCATGGTTGCTTGAGCCTGGAACCCTTAAGGAAAACATGTAAAGAGCAGTGCCGTCAGTTATGTACAGTGTTTCCTCTCAAGGGAGGCCTGGAATAGCCTGGAGGTAGATAGTCTCCCTCGCCAAGATTGGTGGGTAGGAGGATTGAGGTTTTCAAGGAGAAGACAGAGCAATGGATGATAACATGGCCTTAAATGTCTGCTGTCAACAGCCTTGTTCCTTACACAGGAGTTATAGATGCTTCCCTGAAAAGAACCTGCAAATCCCACTGATACTGAAGAGAAGTGCAAGGCGGATTAAGTCCTAACCGTAGTGTCCCTTCAGTTGTTTTGACCCCAGGGAGAAGAGGGTGTTAATGTTGAGCCTGGTCAGGGGAGTGGAGTGCCCTGACACGTTTCTTTTTTTTTAAAAAAAGATGACCGGTAAGGGGATCTCAACCCTTGGCTTGGTGTTGTCAGCACCACACTCAGCCAGTGAGCAAACCGGCCATCCCTATATAGGGATCCGAACCCGTGGCCTTGGTGTTATCAGCACCGCACTCTCCCGAGTGAGCCACGGGCCGGCCCGCCCTGACACATTTCTGTTCAGTTGTCACCGCACTCCACACCCCACCCCACTCCTGGCAGCTTCCTGTAAGTCTTTTATAGAGAATCATATTTTTCTTTCACAAACTGCTGTGCCTGCTGCCATTCATTGAACAGTGAAGCATTCATGGTGTTACTCTTTCCAGGGTGTCAGATTAGAGAATAGCATCCCTTCTCTGGGTGTCTGCCTCACTCTGAAGTGGCAAATAAAAGTATTTGTTGTCTCACTTGTCTCTTCATTACACTGCAGAACTGTGTGCTCCCCTGCCTAGATGGTGACTAGCTTCTGTCCGTCTGTGCATAAGACAAAGACCATGGCTGGTCCCAAACCCTAGATGTAAGTCTCCCTCTGCAGGTTCCATGCCCTTCCAAAGCATTGAAGTTAAATCCTTGTTGAAAAATATATTTAAATTTTAAATTAAAAAAAAAATCTAATTGTCCTTTTTCCTGTGTACACGACTCCAGATGCATTACTTAGGACAGCACTTGGCCCTTCTACCCGACATTTTAAATTACATCATCACAATTCTAGTATTTACCACCTTTGTCAGGGAGGCCATACTGCAGATGTGGAATAGCTTTTCGTACCTTTGAGCCTGATCCAAGTCAGGACTAAATGTCATAGAAACGAGGAGTGTCTGCTGGGAAATAAATTGGAATTGTTTGTTGGTTCTGTTAGCTCCTGAGAGACAAATAATTCTTTTTTGTACAGCTGTATTTCTCTGCAGGAAGTTTTCTTCATGTTTATCCCTTTCCTAATGACAAGAAAAGTTCTGAACCCACAATCAAGACTTTAAGCACATTAGCTCTGTCAGGCACACGAATAAGTTACCTTCTGTTAATGGTCCAAGAAGGGGAATTTGAGCAAAGAACTCAATCATTAAAATAATTAGTGCAAAGCTACAGGACTATGCCAGTTGTCGGGTTGAGGCAATAGCTATACTAATTGTATGGCTAGAGCAATTCATAACTAAAGCCAAAATGTTTCATTGCTTTAGGTCCACGCTAGGTAATTGTGAAAGATCCTGGGAGCCATTGGCAGACGACATGAGCTCAGTCCTCAGCAGTAGCAGCAAGAGCAGAAGCAGCAGTGGCAGTGGCCTCTCAGGGCATCCCGTGGGCACTGGCAGCAACAGCTTGCAGCAGCAGCCTCCAGCAGCTATAGTGGCCTCCCCGTATCCCTCCTGGAGGCATCCCAGTGGTGGGGGGCACCATGGATCAGAGCCACTCGTCCTTTATTTATACTTAAGTCCTAACTCAGGACACCTGGGTGCACATGCACAATTACATTAGACAATCACCAAGGAATACCTGGGCACACGTGCATATTTACATCAAATGCTCAGCAAGATTCTGAACATCTGAGGGGCCCTGACCATTTTCCTTTGCTTTACCCTACAGTTAACCTGGTGGTAGAGGAAGAGCCCTGGACTGTTTGTTAGTCAGGGGACCTGGTTGGTAATTCATCAAGTCAGGCAGGTGACTAGTACTTTCTGGGCCTCTCATCAGTCATGAAAAGGGAGGTTTGGAATTGAAAACTAAAGTTCTTTTCAACTCTAAAATTCCATTTTATACCCGTTAATGTTTTCTTTCCTATTCTCCATGGGTGGAGATTTTAAAATGTACTTATGTAGCAAAAGTAGAATATACTGTAGTTCCTGGAGTTAGAATATGCTACCCTTTCCTTTGGTATTTAGTGAGTCCTAATATGTGCCTGTCCTCAGCAAGTAATAAATGGGCCTGTGAGGACTCAGGGAGATGACATTCTGGTCTTAGCTAGTGTGTAGCTGGCTGAGAAATGAGACCCCATCGCCCAGCACAGCCAATGCTCCATCCTAAGGCTTTATTTAGCTTTGTGATCTAGCCCTGAGTTTTCTAAGAATGCAAAAAAGACTACAAAGCACTTGTTCTTTTGATAGCAACAACTACTGTGTGCTGGGTGTTGGGAATATTATGGTGAACAAAAATCCTTCAATTAAATGTACCAACTCAGGGCCAGCCCCGTGGCTCACTCGGGAGAGTGCGGCGCTGGTAGCACCGAGGTCACGGGTTCGGATCCTACATAGGGATGGCCGGTGCGCTCACTGGCTGAGTGTGGTGCAGACCACACCATGCCAAGGGTTGTGATTCCCCTTACTGGTCAAATAAGTAAAAAATAAATGTATCAACTCAGATTAAACTAGTTAAGCGTTGGCCAATTAGCTCAGTTGGTTAGAGTGCAGCCTTATAACACCAAGGTCACAGGTTCAGATCCCCTATACCTGCCAGCTGCCAGAAAAAAAAGTGAATAGTCATGAAAAGTTAAAAAGGGAGTATATGGTACAGATGTATTCATAGGTTTTTAACTAGCTTCACTGCGTGTAAATGCTGTTATGTTTTATTTACACAGTTTCTGGAAGAATCTGGTATGAGAAAGTCACACCTCAATTATTGAGGGCACCAGATTTTTCACCTAGTCTTGTCTAGTTCTGCCTTGTAATGAGCTAAAATGCTGGTGCTTTATCAGATGAGTCAGTGTTTTGAGATAAATTAGGTTAGGGCGGCCTAGCACTGAAAAGTCTGTCATTTGGTGGCTAATTGGAAGTGCCTGGGTAGTGGGTAGTCTTTTCCAAGTTGCTTGCCTTTTGAATGAACAAAGTTATATGGGAACTGTCCCCAAGGGGCCAAGAACTCAGGACTGCCCTATGTACCACTTCCCTATTGTAAGGAAAATGAAAAAAATGGTCAGGCTCCCTCAGCTGTTAGGAGTCTTGCCGAGCATGACCTAGCATGTCTGATGTAAACATGTTGACTGCGCCCAGGTGTTCCTGGGCTGTTGTCTGATGTAGTTGCGCAAGTGCCCGCAGGTGTTCTCTGGTTAGCTGACTTCAGTGTAAAGGACAAAGGGCTCTGATCCACAGTGCCCCCTGGAGGCCACCAGGCCGCTGCTGGATCTGCTCTAAGCTGCTGCTGAGGAGGCGGCCAGGGGCTGAGCTCAGGTCCGAATAAAGCATGTCCACCTCGCCAGCCGCTCCCAGGATCTTTTTCCAATCACCTAGCTCGCGACCTGCGTATTAGGGGTTTGTGACCCAGTCTGCACAATGGGTTTGAAGGGTCTGTGACTCAGCCTGACACCTGTGTAAAGGAGACAGCTAATGACACAAGGCATGACTGCCATGATACCCCTTAAATCTTTCCATCCTGATGTGCCCCCCAAGAGTGGGTGAACCTGGGGCCTTTCTAGGTTAAGGGGATGGATGGAGTCTAGTCGGACCTTGGGAGGCCTCCCCTGCCCGCCAGCTGATGGCTTCCTTCGCTAATGCAGAGGCCTTGGCACAGCCCCGCCGCTCCTTTCTTTGGGAGCATCTACTGAGAATAAAAGGGGCGTCTTGGGGTGCGGCCGTTACAGCAGGCTCCCCTGTGGGCAGGCCCCCGCCACTGGTGGCCTTTGCTCCCCAGGAGGCTCTCGGAGAGGGCGTGTCCTTAGCGCGGAATCCTCGGGGCGCGCGGGGCCCCCACGACCCGACAGCGACCGCGGCCGCCCTCGTTCCAAACGTCCGCCGGCCGCGAGGCGGCGCCAGGGGACAGGAGCGCGGGGCTCGAGTTTGGAGACCGGGCGAGACCGGGCGAGACCGGACGGCGGCGCGGCGGGCAGCAGAGGGTCGTCGGCCGGGACCCCCCCGGGGAGGCGGGGGCGCTGATTTCCGAGAGGCTCGGTCCCGAGGCTGGGCCCAGGGGAGGGGACCCCCCGGGGCCTCGCAGGCTCCGCGACAGGCCGCGAGGTGTGTGTGAGGGGTGAAAGGAGCACGGTCGCCTGTCCCCTTGGGGTCACAGACCGCTCCTGACAGGGCGCACGATGCCGCCCTCGATGGGAGCGACCACGGTCTCCCTCCGGGAGCTGGCCGACCTGGCCATCGGCACTCCGGAGGTGGGCGCCGTCAACTTCACGGCCCTGCACACGCTCATCGTGGCCATGCTCAAGAGCCTCAACCTCCAGGAGACCCGCACTGACTTCCAGTCCCTGTCTCCCGAGCTGAGCCCCCGGCCCTCGCTCAGCACTCCGCACCCGCCGGCCACCAAAGAGAAGCGGAGGAGCGTGAGCAGGGTGCCCCCGCAGGCGCTGGAGAGCCAGGTGCAGGACCTCACCAGGCAGCTCAAGACCATCGGCAACCAGGTGCGGGGCATCGTCACCCACGTGCAGCACTTAACCTCCGAGGACGGCGGCCTCCACGTGGACGCCCGGGAATGGCTGGAGGACAAGGACATGGCCATGCTGATGGAGGACAAGGACATGGCCATGCTGGTGCAGGACAGGGAGCAACCAGCGTCTAAGGGGGTCGTAAAAGACACCAAGAGGGTCAGCATCAGCAAGGTGAGTGCAGGGGGCCCACGCAGTCCCTCTACCCGCTCCAGGTCGGGCTCCAGAACCAGTGCCTGAGGGGCACGGGAAGCTGGGGACAGGATGGGATGCCAGGCCTTGGTGCAGCCTGGCCCCATGCAACCCGTGCTCTACCTTGCAGGCCATGGGGCTCCTTGAGGACGTCATGGAAGACGTAAAAATCCTGAAAGAAGCCCACCAAAAGGCGCAGTTGTTCCCTGAGTTGAAGTCCCAGGTGAGGGCACCTTGGAACCCCAC